ATATATATATGTGTGTGTGTGGCATGTATGTATATACATATATATATGTGTGTGTGTGTTTGTGCGTGTGTGTGCGTGTTTGTATATATATATGTGTGTGTGTGTGTGTTTGCGTGTTTTTGTATATATTACTAATATATATGTATATATATATATATGTGTGTGTGTGTGTGTGTGTGTTTTTTTTTTTCCGTGTGTGTATATGTATACATTGTATTGTTTGTTTTATCATACTACTTCAATGTTTTCTTTAATTCTGTGACTTTACAATTGTCCTTCGCAAACCCCGTCACCTATATCCCTCCACAAGTATTTATTTGATGCGTATACACAATTCAAGGTCTACCTGCATACACGATATCATTTTTACATGTTTGTGATCCTATTTTTTTCTGCTTGTCATGCAGATTATCAACAATGTGGCGAAGAAGAAGAACAGTGGACAGTTGATTCGCTCCGCAGCTGCCTTCGGGGTGAAGCAAGTGTTCATTGTTGGTAAAAAGAAGGTGGGCTTTGTGTATAAGGATATCTCATATTTTATATTTTAATTTACTTCTGTAACTTCTAAAATGGTGAAGTGTTTTTCTCATTCCTCTTCAGAGATGGCTTTGTATCAGATGTACCTTCAATGATAGCGAGTCTGAAGTTGGGAAAGCTGCGACTGAGACCGCACATGGTCATACTATATACACACATAGGGTTGGTCGTGTCTATTCATGTATATGAAGGTAGACCAGTATTTTATCAATAAATATGCATACATATATGTTGTTAAATAAAAATCACCCATCCCAGGTGTCGAGAGAATCATAGTCCCTCGTACAATTACACTCATTTCTTAGCTTGTATATGTATCACCTCTGAAAGACGAGAGCATAACTATATCATACATATCCTGATGAATGTCTCTATTTTTCCGCGGATTTATGTACTTGCGCACAACTCTATTACACATTGTGTTACTTAATCTGTCGATTCGGGTGTATCTTTGAATTGTGCAGCATCATCCAAACAATCGGCGTCTCGCTAGATACAGCATACTTCGAATAAATATAAAGGACGCCTGCTACTTAGTATCAGATATCGGAATATCTCTGCGTGCCCGATCTTAGGTTTCGAAGCTTTCGAGGTTTCTTCTGTGCTATGCCATACTATACCATATACTCCCCAGATGTGCACCGCAGTCTATACTAAACATCTATGCATGGCTTCTAACAGCGCTCTACATCACTTCTGACTACTCCGGTGCACTCTTGACGCATAATCACCGTTTGCATAATACTAAACGCACCATGTATCTATCTACTTTCCCGCAATACATTCCACTCAGGATGTCAGCTTCTTCGGGTCACAAGGCTCCCAAAGGCGTGTAGATCTCAAGTTTTTTAACGGATTATCCGAGATGAAAGACCATTGCACACAGCAGCAAATTACGGTGTGTGGGATTGAGATAGGTGAGGGCGCTAAGTCAGTAGAAATGCACCCGTTTAGGGGTCCTACCGCGTTTATTGTAGGCAACGAAGGGCACGGCATGGAGCCTCGCGAAATGGGTGAGTGGGAATGGAGCCTGTTTTTTGTTTCCTCCACTGTAGTGGCTGAAGATCTAGATTTTTTGCTCTGCTGTCTCAATCTATATATGTGATTATATCCTGCGCCTGTGTTTAAACGGGCCATAGGGCTGCGCTGAAGTTTTGTGATCCTTGTAATATGCCAGAAATCGAAATTAGCTGGTGAGTCCGGTTGGTAAAAACGTACATCTTCAGATGTCTCTAGTCTTGTCCCACTCATTGTAGGCAGTGAAGGACACGGCGTCAGAGACTCATGAAATCGGCGAGTAGTAGCAATCACGTATAGATACGGTGATATGTGCCAATGCACCTTCAATGTGTACATCTCTATGCATATATATTCAGTTCGTCTGTATCTGTTCATGAGTGGGCATTGTGGCACTTCTATACTTAAGCACCCGAAGCTGTCTGATGTGTTGTTGATGTAAACGAAATTGACCAGCCAGCAGCTACCACACCTGATGCAGATTCTCATCGTTTGTCGTTTCATGAGCAATACATATATATATATATGTATATATGTATATATATAAATGTATATATGTATATATGTATATGTATATATATATATATATATATATATATGTATATATATATATATGTATATATGTATATATGTATATATGTATATG